TATCCCCTCCTCCCACCTCAAGCCCCACCCCCATCTCCTACCTACTAGCCTCATCCCGCCCCCTTGACCTGTCCGTCCTCCCTGGACTGACCTATCCCCTCCCTAACTCCCCACCTACACTCACCTTTACTGGCTCCACCCCCGCCTCTTTGACCTGTCTGTCTCCTCTCCACCTATCTTCTCCTTTATCCATCTTCTATCTGCCTCCCCCTCCATCCCTATTTGTTTCAGAATCCCCTTCCCCTCCACCATTTCTGAAGAAGGGTCTAGGCGCGAAACTTCAGCTTTCCTGCTCCTCTGATGCTGCTTGGCCTGCTGTGTTCATCTAGCTCTACACCTTGTTATCTCAGATTCTCCAGCATCTGCAGTTCCTACTATATCTGTTTTTAACCATACTGCTCATTGCTGACAACACCAACCAATACTGGGTCACTCCCTTACTGAATGGCAAACCGGTAAGAATGGAGATGACACTGGAGTGGTGATTTAATTGATACCTGGAAGTGTGCATCAGAAGCAGGCTGCTCTCTCTTTAGACAGAGGTGGTCAGTTAGTTCAGTTGGATGGATGGCTTGTTTGTGATTCAGACTCACATCAACAGTGTAGGTTCAATTTCTGCACTGGCTTAGGTTACAATGAAAGATTCTCCTTTTCAAAATCTCTCCCCACCTAAGGCATAGTAAGCCTGAGGTTACATTGTCACTAGTCATCTCCCTAATGAGGGAGGAGCCCTGTAATTTGGTAGGACGATGGTGACTTTACTTTTATCAGAAGCAGCTGAGGCACATTATGCTTCAACCCTCAAAAACAGAACTAAGAATGTACACAGGTGAAGCAGAGCATTTAAGGGATTGCATAAATGTGAACATCCAGTTATACTGTCATTCTTAAGATTGCCCTTATTTATTTTCAAAGGAAATTTTCCAGGTTTATAGGTAAGAATGTGGTTGGAGAAAACCAAACTCAACTTGGATGAGGTAAATCACCTGTCAGATTTGGAGACAGATCAATCACAAATTCTGAAGAACTGTTATTGTTTTCAATGGGGATTTGGGAAGCATGGAAAAGATCTCTGTAAAGTTAAAACCAAGAATTAAACAACTGAGTCACGTTTCCCAGCAAAAGAATAAAGCCAAATGCAGCATCTTTCAAAAAAGATCAAGAAGTGTTGCTTAGGAATTACAACATTGGTGAGAAGTGGGTACCAGCCATCACTGCAGCACAGTTTGGATAGGTCTCCTAAGCTCTACAGACCAGAGCCGATGTAGTTTGGAGAAGACATGCCGATCAACTCTTGGCAACCAGAACAAATATGCCAGAGCCAACATTAATTGAAGACTTACAAAAACCATTGCTAAATAGAGATCTGGATATACCAGATGATAGGGCAGTAACTGGAGCATCTGGGGGAGACAGTACATTAGTGGAGAATACCATGACATTGTGCAAATCTCTGAATGTTGAGTTATCTCAGGAAAAGACATTGACAGATGGTGTTCCTAATACATCTAAAATACTAGAACTTAAAGCCAATGAGGAAAATAAACAGATGCCCAAGGTACGCCAACAACCACAAAGGAATTGACATGTCCAGAACGTCTTACCTACTGGCTGTTGTATTTTTGATTGTAAATATTGTGAATGTTTTCATTGCAGGAACCTCTGATGTAAAGGGGGAGCGATGTTGTGTATTTGTATTAAATATGGTGGACTGCCACTTTAACAGTCTGATCATGTAAACAGCTATTTTGGGCAGAATAAACATCTCTCCCTAATCTTGCTGCCTACAAAGTGAACATCTCCTCAATAAAACTCCTGTTTAACACTTCAGCCTTCTGGTCCTTCTTGGAACCTTAGCAGGATCCTTGTTGTTCCTCTTTATATTAATGATCTAGATCTTGGAGTGCAGAAGACAATTTCAAACTTTGTGGTAAACTTAAGAACAATTGTAAACTAAATGGAAGAGAGTGAAGATATTCAATAGGACATCAAAAATCTGGTGGAGTGAGTGGAGATGTGTGAGGCAGTACACTGAAACACAGTACATAGAAAGAACATAAAGAGACAGTATAAAATAAAGAGTGTGTGGGCGCAGAGAAACCCTGGTGTAAATGTGCATAGGTCATTAAAGGTGGCAGGAAAGTGGAGAGAGAAGTTAATAAAGCATACGGCATCCTGGGGTTTATCAGTAACGGCATAAAATATAAAAGGAGGAAAGTTATGTTGAACTTGTATAAGCCACTAGTTAAATTTTTGCTGGAGTATTGTATACAGTTCTGGGTGCCACATTTTAGGAAGGATGCAATCGGATTGGACAACACGCAGAAGGATGGTTCGAGGGATGAGAGACTTCAGCTGTAAAAATATCTGGATGAAGTTAGGACTGTTTTCCTAGGAAAGGAGAAGGTCAAGAGATTCTCACTAGTAATCATGGCTCATCAGATTGTAATCTTATATCCACATTTCTGACAACCTTTCATCCATTACTTAACAATTAGACAATATGCTTCTTTTTTATTCTTCCTGCCAAAGTGAATAATGTCATATTTTCCCATGTTATACTCCACTTGCCAGATCTTTGCCCGCTCACTTAACCTATTTACATCTTTGTGGAGTTTTTTGATGTTCTTTTCACAAATTACTTTGCTACCTATCTTTGTGTTATCAGAAAATTCAGCAAATTTCTGTCCCTTTATCCAAGTCATTTATACAAGTTATGAACAGTAGAGATCCCAATATCAACTCCTGTGTGACATACTGCTTATTACATCTTGCTAACCCGAAAAAGACCCATTTATGCCTGACCTGGTTCGTGTTAGTCAGGCAATCTTCTATTCATGCCAACATGCTACCCCTACACCTGGAGCTTTAGTTTTCATAATAACCTTTGATGTGGTTCTTCTTCATATGCCTTCTAGAAATAACAAGATATTACGGCAAATGACCTAAACTTTGTGTTGAAAACAAAAGTTAAGAGATAGAGAATTTTAGCAAGAACAGCTGATGACACAATCATCAATGGCGCAGCAATTAAAGTTAGAAACGTGCAATGGTTTGGAATTTGTGGTGCGTAGACATCTCAGATGCCTACAGGATTGGAGGAGAGTACAGAGATAAGGGGAGGCAAGGCCATTTAGAAATTTGGAAAACATTCTGTCAACTCCGAATAACTCTCTCACACATTCTATCAACTCCGAGTAACTCTCACACATTTAATAAATACGTTATTACATTTGAGCTTCAGCAGCAAAACACCTGATTACAAACCTTGTATTTACAATCCTCACCACCAGAAAGGATGAGATCATTCACTATATTCCAGTCAACCTTCAGAATGACTCCATCGTGTGCTTTCCACTGTGAAGATGAATACAAGATGAGATAAGAATGCAAAGAAATCATATTCTTTAGACTTTTGAAAAAAAATCTTTAAATATACTTGCATCATTGAGACAACTCTCAAAAATATGTGATCTGCCAGATCAGAGAATCTGGAAGGACAGCCATTTTTGATTATTCCTATAAAACATGAAAACTCAAAAATAAATCAGTGTACAAAATTAACATAGCCCTGTGATTTAATCAAACAAATAAATTGAATTGACTGCCAGGGTCAGATTTGAACATGTTAATTATCAGCCAACTATAAGTCATTGACTGAGATTTCCTGGTCATGAAAAGCAAAATCAATTTATCTGAACACATTGTGACAAATGATGTTCTGCAACATACTCACTTAAGCAGCTGACAGCTTTTATTTACTAAAACCAGTATTTTTAAATGGATTTTACTCGCGAACGTCAATATTCAGTCAATTGCTGAGAAAAATCAACTGAATCTAAAATACAAAAAAGCACAAATGATTTATATAATCAACCACGTTAATAATGTCAAGTGCAACTCCTCTGACTTACAAGCTATGTGACATTCCCATTTTTATCAATTTACAACTATTTCATGTCCATTTTTAGCAACCTTATCCAAAACAAGTCTAACAATATGCCACCATTACTGCCCTCCCTCATGGAATAGCAAGCTTTTTGATTTCAAAATCACAGACCATAAACCTGAATGAAAATGGTGCACAAAGTTCTCGATGTCCACTACCAATCAAACATATTCACTGTAAATTGTATTATTATTGTCTTTTCATGGCAGATCTATATCTTAGTCTAAGATCATCCATGCGCCCAGAACAACTCCAGACTTCTCAGTTCCACCATCCACCATGTGCATCACTTCTTTCCTCCATTGAATTCACTTCTTGACTGCCCATTTTTACAGCAGTGCTATCTACTGGTTTTTCTCACACCAACTGTAATTAAGTCTTTACCTTTGTGGGCTATTACTCTATTCTTCATTTTTTTCTCATCATCATCTTTATCTTATTCCTCAATTATCGTTTCCTATATACAGAATATTTACCATACTTTTGTGCCTCCTTTAACTGATTCAAAGGCTGCTGCAACAATATATAGCTGCTGATCTAACATTAAGACCTGGATGAATCATAATTACTTCTAGTTAAATGTTGGGTCAGCTGAATCTTTTGGCTTTTATTTGAACCTGCCCATGACAATGTCAACCTCCTTAGCTGGCAAGTCAAAAAAAGTCCATATTTTTGGAACTTTGGCCGCTGTTTGAAATCAAAAGTGAGAGGTGGGTTGGCTATGATTGATTAGGTACTGTCGTTAAAAGGCATGACAGTGGATAGGCAATGGCAGAACTTTTTGGAACGAAGGTATGCATTGCAACAGTTATGCATTCCTTTCTGGACCAACAACACAACAGAAGGGTGGCTCAGCTATGGTTAACAGAAAAAAAATAATATCCCAAGAGGAGTCATATAAAGTTGTTAGAAAAAGCAGAGAGTCTGATGAATGGGAGCAGTTTAGAAATCAGGAAAGGAGAGCCAAGAAGTTAAGCAGGAGAAATTGAGTATTAGGGTAAACTGGCGAGGAGGATAAAGGCAGACTGTAAAAGCATCCATAAGTATGCAAAAGAAAAAATACCGATGAAGGCAAATGTATGAATTTTGACCCCTTACATTCCAATATAGGAGAACTAATAAGGGAGAACAAGGAAAATGGCAGAACAATAAACAATTATTTTTCTTCTGTCCTCAGGGAAGAACATACTTTCCTGAAATACTCGGGAACCAAAGGTCTGATGAGCAAGAAGAATTGAAGGAAGTTAGCATTAGTGAATAAACGGTGATGGAGAAATTGATGGAACTGAAAGTGAATAAATTCCCATAGCTTGATAATTTCCATCCTGGAGTACTAGAGGAGGTAGTAAAGGTAGCCAAGAACATGTTGAATGTATTGGCTGGATGCACATGGGATTGGGGCTAATATACTGGCATGGATTGAGAATTAGTTAGCAGACAGCAAACAAAGTAGGAATAAATAAGTCTCTCTTTAGAGTGGAAGTCAGTAGTTAGTGGGATTATGCATGGGTCAGGGCTTGGGCTCCAGCTATTTACAATATACAACAATTAAGATGAGGGAATCCAATATAATAATTCCATGTTTTTTGGCAAAACTGTTTAAGTGAGATTTTGATTGGTACAGAGGTTGTAAAGAGGATTCAAGGCAATTTGAACAAGTTCAATGAGTGGGTAAATACGTTGCAAACATAGTACAACATGGTTGAGTGTGAAGTTATCCACTTCAGTTGGAAAAATCAGAGTGGCAGGGTATTCGTTAATTGCTAAACAAAACACAAAGAACTGCAGATGCTGGAAATCTAAAATAAAAACAGAAAGAGCTGGAGATACTCAGGCAGTCTGGTAGCATCTGTGAAAAGAAATCAGAGTCAACATTTCAAGCCCAGTGATCCTTCTTTTGAACTGATCGGAACTATAAATAGGTTGGTGTATAAACTAAAGACAGAGCGATGGAGGGGAAGGAGTAAACCACTGGTAGAGATTTAGTCCTGAGAGAAAGAACAACAGCTGGACAGACAAAGGATTGGATAATGGTGAGCCAGGGAGAAAGAAAAGCTGCTAATGGAGACCAACCTTTCTAATGGGTGAAAGTAAGTTGGCTGTGGTGAAAGCAGCCCATGTGATGACAAGGCCTGGTGTTTGGGGTGGGGGAAGGGCATAGAACTGCATGCTCAGGCCCTAAAATTATTGAATCTGATATTGAATCCTGAAGGTTGCAGGATGTCGAAGTGGAAGATGAGATGGTGTTCCTCCAGCTTGCGCTGAGCTTTGCTGCAGCAGGCTCTTTCGAGGCTTTGGCCAGGGAACACAGTGTTGTGTTGAAGTGACAGGGTCATTTTTGTGAACAGGACAGTGGTGTTCCACAAAGCAGTTGTCCAGTCTGTGTTTTGTCTCCCCAGAAACACTGATAGGGTCCTCCTGGTCCTCACTGTCTACCCAAGCAGCATCCATATCCAAAGAATCAGAAGCTGCTATTTCCACCACTTCCAGCAGGATGCCACCACCAGACATATATTACCCTCCCCTCCCCTTCTCAGCCTTCTGCAGAGACCATTCCTGCTGAGATATCCTAAACCACTCCTCCTCCACTTTCAACATCTCCCCAAACCTCATGGCACCTTCCCATGCAATTGCAGAAGGAGGAACACCTGCCCATTTACTTCCACTCTGCTCACCATCCAAGGCCCCAGACACACTTTCCAGGTGAAGCAGTGATTTACCTGTACTTACTCCATCTAGTGTACTATATTCACTGCTCACAATGTAGTCTCCTCGACACTCAGGAGGCATAATGCAGACTGAGTAACTGCTTTGCAGAACACCTACATCTGGTCGCAAAAATGATCCCGAGCTTCTGGTTGCCTGCCACTTCAACATATTACCATGTTCTCTGGTCAACATGTCTGTCTCAGGCCTGCTGCAGTGCTCTAGCGAAGCTCAGCCTAAGGTGGAAGAACAGCATGTCACTTTCTGCTTGGGGTCCTTGCAGCTTCAGGAAACAATACTGAGTTTAATAAGAACCTTCTTCCCTGTCCTTCTCCCATCCTTACACACCAGGCTTTGTCACCACATGGGCTACTCGGATTACAGCCAATCCAATTTCACCCACAAATGGTCCCCATTAACAGTTTACTGTTCTTCTCTGTTCACAATTATCCATTCCTTTGTATGTTCAACTGCTGTTCTCTCTGTCTCCCTGAGCTCTATCTCCATCTATTGTTTACTCCTTTCCCTTCTCCTCCCTGTCTTTAGCATATATACCAACCTTTTCCAAGCTACAATCCGTTCCAAAGAAGGGCCACTGAGCCTTAAAACAGTGGCTCTGTTTTCTTTCCACAGATGCTGCTAGACCGACTGAGTTTCTCCAGCTATTTCTGTTCTTGTATTAGTTAAATGGCAATAGATTAGGAAATGTTAATGTACATTAACTAGTGGCCTAGGTGGCCTTGTGTATCAACCACTGAAAACAAGCATTCAGGTGCAGAAATAAGGTTGGAAGTCAAACAGTATGTTGTTCTTTACTGCAAGAGGATTTGAGTTTAGAAGCAAGGATGTCTTATTGCAGCTTTACAGGTTCTTGGGTTCACATTTGGAGTACTGTGTGCAGTTTTGTTCCCCTTACCACGGAAAGGGTATACGTGCCACAGAGGGAGTGAGGCAAAGGTTTCACCAGTATGATTTTTGGGATGTCAGAATTGTCATACAAGGATAGATTAGGTTTACTAGGCTTGTATTCACTGGAGTTTAGAAGAATGAGAAGGGATCTCATCAAACCATATCACATTCTCACAGGGCTTGACAGACTGGATGCAGGGATGATTTTTCTCCTAATCGGGGTGATTTAGGAAAGGATCATGGTCTCATATTATGGGAAGGCCAGTTAAGATGAAAGTGAGGAAAAACCACTTCAGCAAGGAAGGTCATGAACCTGTGGAATTCTTTACCACACAATGTTGCGGAGGTAAAGTCACTGAATACATCTAAGAAAGAAATAGATAAATTTCTTAATTCTAAATTCATGAAGGGCTTTGGGGATCAAGTGGAATATGACACTGAGATAAAGTTTGCCATGATTGTACTGAACGATGGAGCAGGCTCAACACTCCTGTTATGTTTCTAAGGTGAGTTCCTTTTCCATTATATATCCCAATATCACGACTATTTTCTTTCACATTTACAATATTACTTATCACTATCCATATCATTCTTCCTCTTCCTCAGTGGTATTTTTATTTTTCAAATACTTTTTAAACTGTATTTCCATCCTTTTCAATAAGACTCATTTAAAAGACACTCGTCCAGATCTTCCAATCTCAATAGACAGAGACCCTGACAGTCAGGCTATGGGATGCCTTGGAGGTCCCAACATACTGAATATGCAATAATTGCTCAGGAGATTTCAGTTTCCAATGGGTTTGGAACCTTTCAGATAAGTTCTCAATTCTGAGTTAGAGTTGGAAACTTCGCAAGGTTCCAACTTAATTACTTTAGTAAATACCTGGGAAAAATCAGAGGGCCTAAAACCTGCTCTCTTCTGGCTGATTATATTACTGAGCTGGCCCTATACTGGAAGGTTTCCTGAACACCACATTTCTCAAGAGGCTTAAATTGGAAGTTCAGACATGTAGCTCCAGGAAAAGGCAAGTAAATAGAGTGGCAATTCATTGCGATTGCCACTTCTCAAAAGCTTTAGCCCACTGACTCACACAGATTCCAGTGTCCTGTCCTTGCCCAAGCTCCAGTGGCTCAAAGATCTAGTAAGTTCATTCTAAGATCTTGGCTCTTGCTTTGAAATCTGTATGCTGTTCACCTGACGTGACATCAGTTATATCATCTCAACGTATATTTCTGTTTTTGACATTTCTGTTTCAAACCTTCTACTTGTTATTCTTCAATTCCTCCACAGGGGATTGCATATCCATCCACCAAACAAATGCCTTCTGGAGTGCCTTCAGTGAATCCCTATACTTTTCCATCCCCTCCTGGCTTTCAAACACTTTGTGAAAATTTTTTCTTCAATTATGTTTGAGATCCTTCATCTTTCTACTTCTTTCTTGGCATCCATATTGTTTCTTATAACTCACTTGTCACTCAGACATCTTTCTATAGACAATGAGTTCTATTAGATATAGAAGTTATTATATACTCCATCTATTGGAGACAGAAAGTTAAAAGTGCATTACTTAAAACAACGTTAACATACCAATGCAGTTTTAGTTATTGCAGAAAACTAACATTTGTGTTGAAAAACCCACACTTATTCCATTGCTGTTCTCAGATATCAAGGGCCGAGTTTTGCTGAGAAAGGGCATCTGATCGTGCATGCTGCTATTAGTGTGCAACTCTGCTGGCCACTTAGCCAGGAAAAAATACCCCATGAATGGAACACCAACCTGTGACATTTGCAAAGTTAATGCATTTACATTTAATTACACACTAAACTTGCCACAGAAAATTAGGTGTAGCAATTAGCAAATTAAGTACTCTTTTGACAATGTGATGGTTGCTAATGACTTCAACCAAACTCTTTATGAAGTAGAGTCTCAACCCTTCAAGCTCAAATTGCTTTGTGAGATTTATTCACATTTTTGGTGGTTACTTCTCTTTTCTGCCTCTCTTTTTTAAAAAATCTCTTGATTTATCTATTCCTTCTTTTTATCTGCCTATTTCTCTTTCTATACCTGATTTCATATTGAATTTGCGCAGTTTAAATTACTTTATTAGTCTTTGCCTTGTTAGTCTTTGCTAACTATTTTTCAATCTTCAAATCTCATTGGTTTAGGAGATGTATTATTAGATCCTTTGTTCACCATGTTCCCAGATGCTTTATTTGTCTGATGACGTCGTTACCAGCTCATAGTGCCAAGTACTTTATTGGCAACTACAAGTGTTCAAGTCTATTTGACAGGGAGTGCCATATGCCAACATAGTTGGACTTCAAATATCCTACTGGTTGCATTTCTGTATTGTAACAAATTCAACAGATCATGAAGATAGTCTACCCTTAGATAATGTGTGTTCTAACTGCTTTTTCAAGTGTTTTCGTAATTAATGCTGGGTTGTGATTTTCTTAGACCTTTGAATTTAATTCATCCATTTGAAATGATTAAAATCCAAGATAGAAAAATAATTTCATATAAAAGTAATACTAATTTTTTGGAAAAAACTGGACAGATGGAGTTTAATATAGGAAAGCGTGAGGTCATGCACTTTGGTTGGCAGAATCAAAAGGCAGATTGTTATTTAAATGGAGAGAGACTCCAAAAAAAGTACAGTTCAGAGGGATCTAGATGTGGTTGAATGGCACTGTGCTACATCAATGTTGGATCTACAGCAATATGCCAGCAGTTTTTGTGGAAAACACTGAATGTGTTGCAACTAAATGGACACGTCTCAACACTTAAGGAGAGTAGTCCTCTGCAGGTCAGAGATACCTGTCGTCAGTGGCACCACAGATGACAAGCTGCCTGGGTTTGTATCTGTGCTAAAAGGTAAGGCAAAATGGAACTACATTGAGTCTATAAATTGGGCAACAAAGAACAAAAAGGCAAGGTAATGTGGAGATGCTGTGATCCAAATAAACACAAAGTGTGGAGTGCTAAGAAAGCAAGAGAAGAGTCCTGAGATACACCTCATGACATGTGCTCTTGTCTCTCCCTGGACTGGCAAAAACATGACAGAATAAAGTGGTGATGCATTTCAAAGTGCCATGATGTGGACATGCTGGTGCTGGACTGGGGTGGACAAAGTCAGAAGTCACACAACAACAGGTTATAGTCCAACAGGTTTATTAAAAATCAGGTGAACTGAGAAGAAGCAGCACTACGAAAGCTTGTGATTTTAAATAGACCTGTTGAATTATAACCTGGCGGCATGTGACTTCTGACTTATTCCAAAGTGCAGCACTGAAGTGGATAAATTTATTCTAAATGAGTCAGAAATATGCTGTGATGATGTAGTGAGGCTGATGTGTGACCAATGTCAAATCCTGTGGATGGGGGTGTATAGGCAGTTGCTATCCAGAGGCCATGTTTTGAGTTGTTGGGGACTGCTAGCCAAGGTGGAGGCCCAAAAAAGCAAGTGGTAAATTGAAGCCGCCAGGTAGCTGCTCTGACTTTCATGTGGGAAGTATTGCTGTCTCACTCAGCCACGTGGAAAAATAGCAAATGAGATGAGAAACATGTATTAATAAGACATTAATGCATGCAAATGGACCTCTCACCGTTCACCAGTAAGGTTCTCAATTCCCTGCTCAAAGTCGAATAATAATGTAAAATTGAACTTTGTTTCTTCCTCAATGCAAGAATCTTAATTTTCCATCGCGTCATATTTTCTCTTGATCACCCATGTCATTCAAAGACTGAGAAAATTCAACCACTGTCTCTGTGCCATGTTTATTGTACAATGGCAGTCAAAAGCTTAAGCATGAAATCATGTCAATATTCCATCAATCCTATGATACCTTAATATACATTGCCCACTTTTCACTTATAAAAAGTAAAAATAAGTTTACACGTTTTCAAGTAAGTAATTTTCTGGGATTTTTTTTCACTCCCAAAACTATTGGCTATTTTCTGCTTGTTGACTCATTAATTAGTATAGATTTGGTCATGTTTTAAAGCAGGTGAGGTGAAGTGTACAGCACTTGAGGCCAAAGCTATATTTTGCACCACTATAATTAGTATTGAAATATTGCTCAAGTTTGTGACCATTTTATTTAATTTGTAGAACACAATAAAAGTAAGTATTGACTGCCATTCCAATTAGGGCTTTTTTTAAATTGAACAGCTTATGCACAATGATGTGTTTTATAGTCCCTTATAAAGCTGCAATCTTAGAAGTCAAATTTTTGGAAGGGATCTAAACAAAACATATTGCACTTTCATTGTCAAGATGAAAAAGGAGATCTGTAATCTGAAATGTCTAATCCAGGAGTTCAGCAGGCAGAACCATTACAGGTAAAGGCAGAGAGAAGATTAATTAACATAGTATTTACATTATTTACATAATACTGACAAAATGAACATCTTGTAAACCTTAAATGTACAAACCTGAAAGAGTTTGGCATTTGGTTGTAGAGGTTTAATAATCAGTTGTTTTCCTGAGGTGTAAAGAATCTTGTCTGAATCTGGACCCCATGCTACTGAATATACTGGAGTACCTAAGAAAACATTAAATATAATATATACAGTAATTACTTCTAAATCTAATTCAGGTGACTTGGTTAATTTTTCTTTAAGAATTTTTTTATATTGGACAATAAAAAAGTAAATAGCACCACAACCTGCAGTAGGCAACTTGTATACTGTATAAAATACCTCTGTACAGAAAATCCTAAAAATGACAGATCTTAAGGTATAAAATACATTATATTTTATTCAAAATTTTATAACGTTATTTATGCTTACCAGCAGAATTGTATCATTTTTGTATAAGATTTAGCAATCAAACAATTTTGCAGGCTCAGAACAGTATGGAATATTTACATTTTGTCCTTTTTTTCCTGCTTTCTTGAAGTATTAGGTTATTGTTAGGACCACAATAATCAAACACTCTGGAACACCTTGTCAAAACATCCATTCATTTTGCAAGAAGCGAAATAATGCTTTCTGGCGTATGACAAGTAGCCAGGAGAAGTGGGGCATGGTGCTGAAGTCACTGTATTAGTAATGCAGTCAAAACCAACAGTAGCAACTGGTGGACTCTCAATTCAATAAAATCTGGAACTATAGCGAGCCTTACCACAATCAGGTAACCAGCGCCAATTGACGTAAAAACCTAAATAGTTCACAAATGTCCTTTCGGGAAGGAAATTGGTCATCCTTACCTTGCCTGGTCTATGTGTCTCTCATGATCGACAGCAATGTGATCGTATCTTAATTATCCTCATAAATAGCCTATCAAGTTACTCATTTGGAATACACTACTAAAAGGTATATAAAAAAAAAAATCGAAACCAAATAAACTTCCTAGCATCCACCTCATCACAAGAAACCAGACCTGTTGACCCTGCAAAGCCCTCCTTATCAATATCTGGAGGATATTCTCTAAATTTTCTCACTTTGTCTCAATAGACAAACAAGAGCCTGACAAATTCATACCTTACAGACAATATTCCAGACCCCTCCATCACCATCCCTGCATATATCCTCTCCCTTGGATAAAGCAGACTCTGCACCGGTTGCAATCATACCTGGCAAAGAAAGATGGTAGTGGTGTTTGGAGGTCAGTCATCTTAGTTGTAAGACATCTCTGCAGGAATACCTCAGGGTTGTGTCCCAGGTCCAACCATCTCCAGCAGCTTCATCAATGACCTTTCCTTCATCATAAAGCCTGAGCTGGGGATATTTGTTGTTGATTATATAATGTTCTGTACCATTTGTAACTCCTCAGACTCCTACAGCACTGCATGTCCAAATGAAACAAGACCTGGACAATATCCCTGTTTGGGCTAAAACAGGGTAGTAACAATCAAAACTCACAGATGCCAAGCAATGACCATCTCCAACAAGGGAGAATCTAACCATTGTCCCTTAACATTCAGAGCCATTACCATATCTGAATCCCCCACTAACATCCTGGGGATTACCATTGACCAGAATCTCAACTGGACTCACCATATAAAAACACTGGCTACAAAAGTAAGTCAGAAGATAGGAATCCTGCAGCAACTAATTCATCTTCTGACTCATCAGAGCCTGTCAACCATCTATAAGGCACAAGTCAGGTGTGTGACAGGATACTCTCCACTTGCCTGGGTGGGTGCAGCTCCAACAACACTCAAGAAACTTGATATGTTCCAGGATAAAGCAGCCCACTTGACTGGGACCACAACCACTAACATCCACTTCCCCATCACCAACACTCAGTAGCAGCAGTTTGTGCCATATACAACATGAGTTGCAGAAATTCACCAAATCTCCTTAGACAGCACCTCCCAAAGCCTTGACCACTCCCATCCAGAAGGACAAGGGCTGCAGATACATGGGAACACCATGTGGTACAGCTGGAAAGGAGTTATCCTGGGCTCCTCAACATAGACTTCATGGGGTGTGAAGTTAAAGATCAAACACAGGCAAGAAAAGCCCCTGCTTTGCAAGTTGAGTGGGGAAGGTGATAATGATGGGTCAGTGGTCAAAAAACTGCTGATTGTTTTAAGGAATTGTACCCTGTTGTGGGTGTAAAGAACATCAGCCTGATGACGACTGGTTGGTTCTTAGGTAGTTGAGCAGCTTGTGGGTGTCAATGTTACAGGGAAGAGCCTTTGGACATCTGGAAATACATGTCTCTTTCTCTCTCTCCAGTGAAAATACCAGAAGCTAAAGCAAGCTAGTTGCTTTGTCCCATTAGTTGCTGTAGGCCGTTGTTTTTAATTTTTTAAAAAAATCAGACTTTTTTATGTGTGAACCAGTCACTTTGTGTCTCTGAAAGAAACTGAAGGAAAGGATGACAGAATTGAAGGACATGGGAAACTAAAAGATTACCCCAGCACATCCTAAGTATTGGTGCTAATAAACTGTTTCCTCAGTAATTTTTCCTTCCATCCATAATACCCTTTTTTTGTTGCTCTGTGTCTGTATGTGAATCTGTAGAGGGGTTTTAGAAAAGAGTTAGAGTTTTAAACAGTAGAGTTAGAAGTTGATAACACAGTGTGGAGCTGGAGGGACACAGCAGGCCAGGCAGCATCAGAGGAGCAGGAAAGTTGACATTTCGGGTCGGGATCCTTCTTCACACCAGACCCGACCCAACCCGAAACGTCAACTTTCCTGCTTCTCTGATGCTGCCTGGCCTGCTGTGTTCCTCCAGCTCCACAGTCATCTCTGACTCCAACATCTGCAGTTCCTACTATCTCTGAGAAAGTTGGAAGTTGACAGTTCATCGTTATTTACCGATGATTAAAATCTGTTTATTTGTATTAGGTAGTTATTCTTAAAGCACGGAAACCTGGTCTATGTTTTCTGTTAACCTGAGTCCATTAGACAGGTAAATTGGGGACTTTGTGTATTTTGATTAAACTTAACTTTTTTTATGACTGAGAATAGTGGAGCTTGATTTCCAGTGTGCTACACCAGTGTGGCATAACAAAAGTTTGAAAGTTCTGGCTGTGACCTGAGTGGTCTCATCCCACATGTAGTACATCAGCTACCACTGAGCCTTCTCCATGTCTGTGAATCAAAGTCAGCCCTCCTCCTCTACACCTCATCAATTTGAACATTTTTAGTTATGGATCTGAGCTCCTTGATGCAGTTTAACACAGTGACTGCAGACTAAAGGAAATGTAAGCCAACATTTAAAACTGAGGCAGATGCAGGATTTTGCGGACAGCAAGCCAGTGAAATTAGTTTTAGGTGGATGTAATTTGTCCAGAATCACAACTCTCATCCCCAAACCAGCCTCTCTTATTTTCATGATGGTTAAATTGGGGCCCGGCTAAGGTTCACACGAGTGTAATTCCCATTTAAATTAGAAACTGCCTCCTCAGAATTGGGCTTTGAAATCCAGTGTGCATATTAGCCCTGGTAAGGGCAGGTCAATTCTCAGTAGTCTTCTTTTGGATAGCCAAGGCACCCGCTTTGGAGAGCTGAGATAATCCTGCAGTTATGGTTTCAGGACACATTGGGGATATGGGTCAGCAGCCCATTAGGACAATATTCCCTCAAAGCTGCGCAACTGCTGGGAAGCTCCACGCACAATGATCAGTATGCCTATGGCTACAACTGTGCATGGACTTCAGAGGTCTGCATAGCAGCTGGAAAAGGTTACAGGAAACATTGGTTCGGGACAGTTAACTGCAGAGATGATTGTACTTAAATGGTGCATTAAACCTTTGGAACTATCCATGTGGTGACCACAATAAAAAAGTTATAAACAAGAGTGCTTTTTTTTTAAAATAAAGCATAGCCTGTAATATAGGAATTTAAGTAATCGAACAATTTTTTTCTCCAATTTGCGTGGGTACGTGCAATTTTTTTATTCATGCATTGGATATGGGTATTACTAGCAAGGCTAACATTTATTGTGGATCCCTATTTGCCCTAGAGTACGGTTGTAGTGATCTGTCAACTTGAACTGTTGCAGTCCTTGATGTGTAGGGACAGCCACAGTGGTGTTTGGAAGGAAGTTCCAGGATTTTGTCACAGCAACAGTGAAGGAACAATAACAAAGTTCTAATTGGTTTGGAGGTAAACTTTCAGATGAGTACCGTGTTCTTATTTATTTGCTACCCTTGTCCTTCTAGTTGGCACTGGTTGAGGTTACCACGAAAGTCATATCTTCTCAGCCTTAGCCCTTGCCTGAGGCATGGTGACCTCAGGCTAAATTCACTACCAGTCATCTCTCTCTAATGAGACAACAGCCATGTGGGTCCTCTGGGGTAAGGCAACTTTATCCTTAGTTTTACTTGGTCAAGGTTGGGATTTTATAAGATGGCTGTTGAAAAAGCTTTGTTGAGTTGTTGCAGTACATCTTGTAGATTGTACATCATGCTGTCACTGTGCATCAATGGGGAAAAGGAGCTGAATGGAGAGTTTTATCCTGGATGGAAAAGAGTTTGTTGAATGTTGCTGAAACTGCAATCAGCCAGGATACTCAACAAGTTAATATTTCTTTGTACAAGTGTCCTTTTCCAATACTATATTGTTTAATCATGACTGGCACGGCTCTTCTAGACAGAGGTGGTAAACGTGGGAAAGCAAATAAGTGCTCATGTATCCAGCCCAAAATTTTTCCCTGCTGGTACGAAATCTCTCAGGAACATCAGCAGCTACATATCCAAAGGGGTTACTCTGAACTCAAGACATATCCTTCCTCCACCAGACATATTTCTGTTTCTCACAAAAACAGTGGATGATTTCCTGTAAACTACTTACATTGTAACTGGTTTCTGCAAGATTATCATTACTATACAAAATGATATCTCTATAGCTAACTACTATAAGAACTAATCATTTAGTAGTATGGAACTTGAGTATTGCTGAAACCAACAAATTTTGCCAACACTTTTCCTGTTGCATTCATAAGACATTTTCATTTGTATGAAATACCAAAGTAGAGGGGTAAGAGAGAAAAGTGCTGATTGGTTGATAAGTGGACTCTAATTAATAGATAAATGCATTGACTTGAGAAATGAACCAATCAGATTTGACCTGCATTGTTTAAAAT